ATTAGGTAAATTTTCACATCCCCTGGAGAGAATGACTGGTTCAAGGGACAAGGAAGAGTTCTCATCAGCTTCTAGCTTCCCCTAACCGGCCATTTTGTTGCTACTTCCACTTCGTACCTCAAAGGGCTGCACAGACTCACCAATCCCCAAACAAAATGTTTTCTCTCAAAAGCAATTACTGCATGGACTCGTACTGAGGAGGTCCATCAAGCCTGCCTTAGCATTTTCCATCAGCTCCACCACCCTAGTACCCTGCAGTACTCCCATGTTAGATCTGAAAGGGGAATGTCACGTAACCTCCACTGTCTGGGGCACAGACCCATGGAGCCAGCATTAGTCCTGACATGGTCTGTCAGGGTGTCCCAGCGCCCCGCAAGAGCTGCAAGAGCTTCTGGTGGGGAGGACAGGGAACACCCCTTCCCCTGCTGCAAAGGGCCACGGGCTCCTGCAGAGGACCAAAACCAGGCATAAATGTCACATTCCAACCGCTTTTAATCAAATCTTGCTGTGAAAGCAGCAAAGGGAATCAGCCATAATCTTTTGTTAGGAGGCTGAACTCAGAATTATTCAAAACGAATGCTGGTATACAAGCCAGATACCTTTTAATATCAAGAGCGCAGCTATAATATATCAGGTATCACTTTACAGAGTGAGTTTTAAATACGTTATACATGTTGAATCATATATTCACATACTGAAATGGACAGCACATTTAATGAGTAGCCCAGCTGGCTACTGTAGATTTTGATTTAAAACGAGATTGCCAAGACCAAAACATATTTGCCAAAATGGAAGTCTCTTCGGGTGCTCCCTTTATATCACTTCAGCTGCCCACCATTACCGAAGCAGAAAAATGACATATACAGGATATATATTTATATAAACTCACTGACTGTTTTTTCCATCTATACTCCGCACTATAGATGGTCTATATTTGGAGATACTCCAGACCAAAAGGAATGAGTATTACTTTGATCCCATAAGTTGAAACCAAAAAAATTCTGTTTATACCTGGTCCAAGATTGCTATACATATATTATATACATAAATCAAACCTCCCCAAAGTGGTAAACAAGCGACCAAAATATTACCAAATATAATCTGGCACAATCAGTTAGATATTTTATTTGTCTGCTAGTCGCGTAAGTATGTTAGATGCCTATACCTCACACCTCATAAGTACTTTCAGGTAAAACTGCAGGTATTTATAGCTACAAGACGCTGTGAATGTTCACTTTTTTAATGGAGTGTTTTTTTGAGAATTTGATTTTTAATGTCAGTAAAATATTTCATTAGTTTTTAATTACATTAGGGATGAGGGAAAGAGTGGGTATACTTAGAGTAGCAGACAAGGATAGCTGTCAAGTATATCTGACCTCTCTGGCTCTCACATTGTTCACAGGTGCAAAGATTGAAAAGATACTGAAAAAAAAAGTTTAAATCATGCTGTATGAAGGATCTGAAGCGAATCGGTGAGACAACAAATTATAAAGAGGTAGAGCAGCAGTCTATTCTAAACAAAAAAAGTAACTTTAAAAAAGAGAGTCCTTACTCATAGGTATGATTTGATATTCTGGTGGTCATATTTGATATTCTATGGTCATAAAGGACATATATCCCACCCGTTCCTCAAGGAAACAAGGAAGACACTTCAAGATGGATATCATACTAACAAGAAACAATGGCGATGAATTAAAAGCTCCTATTCCAAAAAAATACCCAAGCACATGAAAAATGAGTTGCTCCTATTCGGTATGAGCCACTCTGCAAAATCCATTCTCCCTTATTCCAGAGTTTCAGCCAGAGGTCTGAATGGAATGGCACCAGGCACAAAGGCACTGCACATGGGGAGTGCCTTGCCTTTTCAGAGCACATCTCCGTGAACATCACCTACAAGGACACCAGGAGCAATTACTGGTGGTTTCCAGGCAGTCACCATAGTGGCCAAACTGCCCTTTGAGACTGTGCGAGGCAGCCCAGAAGGGGATTTTTTTACCGAGACAAGATGAGTTGATTAGATAGTTGCTGGGGAGGATAAGATGACATCAGATGTGGCTTCAAGTCACACTTAATCTGGCCTATGGGTGGGCTGCTGCCACCCAAGGCAGTCCCACTGCAGTCCCTGACCTGCAGCAACAGGCTTCCTGCCCCTCTCGTGGGCTGACCCAGCTATTGGACCCAGGGGATGTGGTTCCATAAACTGACCCAGCGGAAAACTACGTGGGTTTTGCTATTTTTGGCAGGTTAATTTTCCATTAGCCTGCTCCACCACTCCATAATCAATTGATATGACTCAAAGGAAGCAGCAAGAACGTGTGGCTAAGGGCAAGATGGATTGAGGCCACCCTTTCCATGGGAGCCTGCAGTTACATCAGATTAAATGTAACGTGAAACCAATGTCTGCACTGGTGGTGGTAAGGTTGCCCCCAGCCTGCAGTTACATCAGATTAAATGTAACGTGAAACCAATGTCTGCACTGGTGATGGTAAGTGCATATATGAAATGCATATAGAGGAGACCTAAATAGGCTTCCAGCCTGACTCACAGCTTCGTGCTCCTATGCTGTATCTCTGAAGCATTCCACCTAAATAGGCTTCCAGCCTGACTCACAGCTCCTGTGCTGTGTCTCTGAAGCATGCTGGGGCTCTGCATGGTTTGAAGAGAGGGTCCTGGCCAGCACAAGTCCCACAAGACTTGCTCCCTGCCTTTAGCTCTTCTGCCACATACTTTCTCTCTCGGCTGCTCAAATATGGAGATAAATAAAGAGACAGCAAGGGCTCTGCATGGTTTGAAGAGAGGGTCCTGGCCAGCACAAGTCCCACAAGACTTGCTCCCTGCCTTTAGCTCTTCTGCCACATACTTTCTCTCTCGGCTGCTCAAATATGGAGATAAATAAAGAGACAGCAGTAGTTCACTCCTTAAGAGTGGATGTCCCTTTCTTCAGGCAGTGAGATAAGGCATAGACAGGAAAGGGAAGCTCTCAAGGGCTGCGCTCCATCAGTGTGACCCCTGAGACAAACCTAAATACCAGTTTAGACATAGAAAAGGGACTTCCTCTGGTTACCATTTCTAATTACCACCCTTAGAGGGAACTGGTGCTGTTTAATATTTTGGAACAACCTAAGCTATATTGTTACCATAACTGTTATGTCTATGAATTCTTTCTTGGTCTATAGTTCTCGTGGTCAGCCACAGAACAATTTTCGGAGCTTGCTGGATGCCAAAGGAAAGCATATCTGCATTTGGCTAGCTGAAGAGATCTTCAAAGTCAACTTTAAGTATCAGTGCAGATGTACATGGTGGCTTCTACAATTACTTCCGATTATCTATCAGAGGACTGGTGTGCATGTGTGTCCAGAAGAAGGGATGGAAGAGAGATGGGGGTAAGGACTAAACCACTTACGCTTCGTCAGAGAGAATGAGCATTGCTGAAAAAATTAAAATCTCTCTCTCGGACCACATGGTAGCAAAGTTCCTCTGCTCCTCCAGGAAAAATATGAGGTAAATGCGGCTGAGGAGTTTCACCCTTCATCCCTGAGATGTAGTCCCATCTCTCCAGCAAAGATCAGCCAAAGGCAACTTCATAGTGCTGTGGCTGATGGATTTTTGAGAGGTAAAGCAGAAAGACTGCCCACTTCTTGTGTTTTTCTATTAAGACAGCTATAGACTAGGTTTAGATTTTGTTCTGTATTCTCTTCCTTCCACAGAGAACTTCTGGTTTCTCTCAAAAACAAAATTTGGGCATGGCTTTTTGTTTTGGTTGGTGTACATTTCTTGCTTGGTTTTTTGAAATCTTGCTCCTTACATCAATGTGGTGAAAATGCATGTTTTATGAAGAAAACCTTGTCCCAAAAGATGTGTTGTGCAAAACTTTAGTGAACTGAACTCCTAATTAGGAAAAATTCCTTAGACCTGTCTATCATGTAACCAATAATAACTTCTGTTAAGAAAAATCATTTTCCTAGAGTTGAAAAGTAAAAGGCTGCTACTCAAGCTCCAAAACATTCATTTGTAATCCTAATTCAGCAGTTTAATTCATGCTGTTTAAAATAGAATGACTAAATGTCCTTTTTTTTTTTAAGAACAGTGCAATGAATTGTCTTTAAATTCTCCCCAAAAGACAATCACATTCAGATGTTCCTTGGCACCAATTAGTTTCAATGCAGCATTTCAAAGGCATTTCTTGTTCAAATAGCATGATATGTTATATAAAAGTTATGTGGCTATTGGAAGGGAACTCACGTACTGCATTAAGGTGAGGGTCCGGAATACTACTGGGATACTTAGCAGCAAGTGCTAAATCACAGTTCAGGGAGGTCACATAATCAAATTATCCCTTTTATTACGTTCAACTAATAAATCTTTGGAAACTAGAGTCTGACAAGTTCATCACAGCATTTTAGCTTTTCAGTGGTGCGTGTAGAATACATATACATATAGAACCTAACAAAAGGGGAAAAAAAAAAAAAAAAGCAGCAGCAAGCCCACCGTAAGAATGGAAGAAAAAGTAGCCTTAATGTCAGATGCCACCAGACTGAAAAGTTACGCTGAAAGATGTACCCGCGTTTTTAATTTGAACCTCCTCAACTGAAGTAGAGCAGTTTATCATTTAGTTCCAGTGAACAGATTCGCACATCAGACGTTTCACCGCATTATGGATGGGACCATGTTAAATATGTGTTCACTGCAGTTCCATGGGTCACTGGCATGGGCATAAGCCAAGACCATACGGTTAAGATTATTGCAACATAGCTATTGATCATGCAGCCAGCTCTACAGTAACTAACAGCACTTAATGCTTAGATAACGTGGTTTCATTATCACAAATGAAACTAAAGAGACCTTTCCTGTATAGAGACAATCCAAGCAAAAGTCCGCACCATTCCACCAGGCTGTTAATTGAACTTTTTTCCACCAGGATTCAAAAGAAGGAGGGGGTTAAGGGAACTCACTGATATAGCAACATGGTTGAACACAAACCTATGCTGCAGGAGACTTACCATCATCCAGGTACATCTGGTCCAATTCCTCAGGTTCTCGCTTGATCGTTACAGGAATAGGGGCCAAATTATGATTACTTTCCTCATGCAACTCTGGCAATGACAGTGGTTGGGTTGTTGGAGACTCATTTCTGTGAACCTTCGGTAGCTGCTGCTGCTGTTGACCCATTATGGATGAGTGAGTTGGACTGCAGGACTGCAAATAGGTTGGCTCTTGGGTAACAGATGGAACTGGAGAAGAGGGACTGTTGGGATAGAGTGTTTGTTGATAACCAAGGGGACAGCTACTGCTCAGATGTTGACTCACCTGCGGCTGCAGCATGATGTGAGATGATTGCTCGGGGGAGCTTGGGTGCACAACTATAGACCTTGGCACTTCCTGTATGGTGGGGACACCTCCAGCGGGCTGCTGAAGTCCGAGGTGACTGTGGCCCGGGTTGGGGATGCACTTGTAAGGAGAGGACGAAAGGTCATGCAGCTTGGGGCTTGCGTTGGGAGAAGGTGACATCACGGCGTTCCTCTGCTGACAGGAGGCAAAGCCAGCCACGAGGCACGAACCGGGATCAGGGGGCATCATGATCTGCTGGCTGTAGTATGGTTTAGAGAGAGGGCTTAAGCCTTGGTTCATTGGTCCACAGGTTTGAGCAGGCTCATAGTCATCTGTGGGTTCTGTTTTTATAATTGGAACTGTTAAAAGAAAAAAGTTTTACATAAACATGAGTTGCGTATTGGTATGATCAAGTTGGCTTGTGGCTAGGATACCCTTTGCAAAACAAACAACCTCTTGAATAAGACTCTGTGTGTCTTTTGCCTAGTTCTCCCACCCTATAAAAAAAAAAAATGAATGAGTCATCAGCACAAGAAAGTCACAGCTGGTTCTAATATTGAAAAGGACTATTTTTTTTGGACTCTCCTCCAGCACTAATGTGCTATAAAAATCTATTTGCAAATAGCTGTGCTTCAGTGGAAGCTTTGGACCCAAGGGCTCCATGGATTTGTAGTAATCAAAGCAAGAATTTTAACTTGGATATACTACTGCATGTCTACGGCTACTGATGGCCCATTTGATAAATGTCTGAGCATTCGGTAAACTGGAGCATAATAAGGTAGAGATGGGGCTTTCAGAGTTCAGTGAAAGTAAAATTGCAAAGATACATGACAAACTACTATGTACAAGAAGTTTTCAATTATGAGGGTATTTTTGAAAGAGTAGGATTTGATTTATTTAGTTTTTTTCATGATTGTTTAATCTTACTAACCAGAGAATGGGTGTAAAATATTCAGTAAGTTGCATCCAACTCTCAGTGATTCTAAGCTGGATTCAAACTGCCAATGCCAGCTCCTAACAAATGTTAACTCAGTGTCTGGCTACCAAGGAAAACTGACTCCTATTCTAGACCTCTGCTTGCTCTACCCATTGTCCCAAGAGGCTCTAATTGAGCTGTCAAGCCCTGTCTCTAAATACCACCAGCACATGGACAGAATGACCATCTATGAGCATCAGCTCAGTCACAACAAATATAGAGCTGCTTTCTCAAAAAAAGAGATCCTTCCTCAAATCAAAGTGTCTTTTTCACATTGCCTTTCTCTCTCAAATCAGACAGTGGTACCTTTGCTGCTTTTCCTACAACGTATGCAGTGCATAGGTAAAAGACACCCGCTTTCTTTATCAGGAAAATGATAAATAATACGGCCAAGCTAGTCTGTATATTTATTTTTTCTAGCCAGATGCAACTCTAATGCATACAAAAATTGTGTATGGAACACATAGTGGCATTTATCTTCTTTCCCAAAAGGAGATCCAGAGAACAGCTGTCACTTGGAGGTGCTGTTGGAAATTTAAGGGTGATACCAGAGAATGTCGTTCAGAATATTAGAATAAACGACCCATTGTGGCACAAAGTTATTAATGAAACATCTTTGCACAACTCACCTAAGAGCACATGCATGTTGCATGTCTCTGACTGTATTTTTATTTACACGTTTTATGAACACATTCTCCAGCCATTTACTACGTTTGTATATGAGTCTTTTGAACCCCTAAAAATGCACGTGTGTGCATATGTACACATAAAACCTCTTTTAACACTCAAATTTTGCTGCTGGTGAATGCACTTCACTACCCTTGTTTTACAGTCCCCTAGCCTCTTGTTAACTTTGCTCCTTTTATGTTTCTTTTACATATAGATGCTTGCAACACTTGTTTCAAGATTTCTAGCACCCCTAGTAAAAACATGTCTATATATGTAACAGATGCACAGGTGTTGCTCAAGACGAATGTGCTAAGGATAATGGACTGTCATTGGATTCCTCATAATCTTATTTTCACCTGCTCGTGGGCTGCACACTGGCCAGGAGGGCTACCAAGGCACTTGGTGGCAGAGAAGCAGATTCCAGGCTCAGTGACAGCTTTATTAAAACAGGATCACACCCTTTATGAAAATGCAAGACCAAAGAAACGCACCTAGATAAACATAGCAGCTCAGATATTGTAAGAAAATACCTTTAACAAGTTCCTGAGCTAGCAAATATTCTCACATGTTTTATATTAGCTTCACTGTACTAGCACTAACCACAGCACAGCTGGAAATATGATGGTTGTTGAACACTGAATTTTCCCAATATATCACTGTTATAGAAACACCTGTGCTAAATAATTCCAAGCTCAACCACTGGCAATTCAACTCCAATAAACCCTGGAGTTGTCTGACTTGTTATAACCTAGGTAAGGGTTATAGCCCCGGTGTCAGGCAGGCTGGAGGCTTTAAAGAAGGCCAGGCTCCTGATCTCGAGCTGATTTCTCATTGTAGCTCTTCTACGGCACCTCTTTGCTACTTGGTTTACCAGGCATTTTTCTGTCACTTCACTTTGAATTTTTTCATTATAAAAGCAATGCCATGGGGTCTACTTGGAGGCCTGATTACTGGGAATCTGATTTCACTTGTTGTTACACTGAAGTACACCTGCTGCAACGAACAGAGGATACCCAGTTAAGGCCTACTCTGCACGGGGCGAAGAACTGATGGGCAGAAGGGACTCTATTCCAGACCCGATAGTCTAAAAACTCTCTTGGAGATGGTGACAGCAACCAAGGACACTCCCAGCTGCCCATAAATTCAGAGTTCAGAGGGAAAATAGAGACCGGTGTTAATTACAGGGCCAGTCAGGGTAAGCCACAGCAGCTTGTTTGCTGATGGCAGGTTGCTAGCCAGAGAGGGAAACAAGGAGGAGGGATATGTGATTAATGGGCCTCCATTTTACTTGACAATTATTTACATTGCCCCCTAGTATTGCTCTGAACTGATACTCCAGAGCACCAGTTATTTCATGTAATGGGAAACAAATTATCTTTAAATGGACAGATATTATCTGTATGTAGGCTTAGAGGTGTCTGAACTTGTTCAACTGAATTGTCTCCATTACCTTTCTCAATGTGTTTTTTCAACACAGTAAAAGAGTCTCCCTTTGCTAAGCATTATATATATTTTTTTTGTACGCTAATTTCATCACTAGAATAAAGAATCACACTAAAAGACAGAAAATATTAATGCTGAAATGGTGAAGGGATTTGTATCTGACTTTCCAGTGCTTTGCCATATGTACAGCCACTTAACGCTCTGCAGAATGTAGAGATCTTACGAAGCTGGGATGGCAGCTGCTCACTCCCCTTTAAAGTGTAAATGTCCTCACAGGGTACCACTTTGGAGAAGGAAGCTCCATAGGAATTTTTTCTGATTTTCTTTTTTTTTTTTTCCTGGAGAAGCCATTACTAATGACCCAAATGATCTGGGATCAGACCTGCAAAGCTGAGCAGGTCAGCAGAAAGGTAAGACATTAACGCTTCCTTTTCTGGCTAGACCTCAACTTTTGTATTTTATGTGAATAACTTCATTACTTGACTTGTGGAGGACAGATATACCACAAATTGCCACACTACACCAGTTAACAGCTTATTTATGACACTCTGTCCTGTATCTGCGTCTCCCCAGCCTACGTAACTCCACCAAATGGCGTAACAAAGGCCAACAATCTTTGCCAATGTTTGCATTTCCAAACTCAGCACAAAGGAGCTGTGAGTCTAACCTCCTGGTCATTCTGAAAATACTCTGAATGTGTCAAAAGTTGGACTGCGGTGGGCCCAAGGCAGGAGCTGTGGGTATTTCAAGACACACCTTCCAAAACCAATGCAGGAACAGCCTGTGCCTGTACTCAACCATCACAGTGTCTATGGGGTTACTCAAACAAGCTAAAATACTTGCATGTAGTAAGGCTACCAGTTCCTCACACACCGTACCCACTGTATCACCAACTTTTGGGTAGCTGGGACCCTCAGCCAGGGGAACAGCCGAGGATACAAACCTTACATGCCCACCTTCACCCTTTTCTCCCAGGAAGGAACCAGTGGGCTCCTCCAGAGCAACCAGGCCAGCTGCGGGCTAGCGTTACCACTGACTCATGCTTGATTAACTGCAAATCTTTACAGACCTGAGCTAGAAAAAGAGGTTTCATTCTCAAATACATCCCCGTGGAGGCACGGTACGTATCCATTTCCCACATATCCATTTCCACCGTCGCTCACTCGCACAAGTGAGTATTTCACACAGGGAGATGAGACTCGATACAGAGAGGACACCTAATTTTCTCAGGATTAATATTTAACAGAGAACAGTAGTACCCTGACTAACTTCTAGATCAAATATTTCAAATCTTAAATGACTTGGTAAGAACCTGCCAGCTGAAAGAGACACTCCTAGCCACAGGGCAGGCCTGGACTGGCAATTAACTGGAAAGACCTACAGCTGTTCAGAATCTGCTAAAATGGTACTTTTAGCAGAAAACGGACTATTTCTTAAATTCAGCAGAGCGGTATCAAATGGCAACAAGCATTCTGTCTCTGTGGTGCTGAGATAACGCCCAGTCTTGCAGACTTTCAGCTGGCTAGAATGAAAAACTGTGACTGAATTTGCCATAGACTGAGATTTGCCAATAATCAATTGCCGCTATGACACCAGCATTTGTGGAATTGTAAACAGAAAAGATGACACAGTTTTTACATACACTCGGACTCAAAAGTAATGTTTCTTGGTTAAGAGACCCTACTCTGCTGAAGGATCAGGCCCTTGCCACAAAAAGGAAAAAATGAATCCAAGTTTGGGGGTCACACGGTGAATTTTTAAATGCTTCTTACTCCACAATGCATTAGACGATTTGAAGTAATCCTCAATTTTGAATATCAAAATATGACAGAGCTCCCAGTTCTCAATTAGTCTGATAAGCAACTTAATCTGTGCTAATTGGTTTTCAATGGTTCGCTGATGCCTTCTTAGACTCTGGACTCATGTCATTATGTCATCTAATTTAATACGAAGTTCTGAGAACCGTGCACTGGCAGCAGCCCTGGCTATAAATCAAAGCTTCTTAGTCAGAGAGACCAGGGTTATGACATCATACCGAGGCACTGAGCAGAAGACAATGGTCCTTCTGTGTGGCTCTGAATCTGGGAGAAATATTTCAGCCAGTTCTGCAAGCCCACATTTAAATGAAAGGCCTTTCTAGCAGGTAAAAAGTTAATATATCAAACCTTGAAGAAAAATAATAAATCATGCACATTCAGTAAAAGGAGTCAGAAAGTGCTTAAATATAAATTATATGTATTTTTTGACAATTCTAACAAGTCTGTTTGCTTT